CTGCACAGCAGCTGGGGGTTACCTGGAGTCACTATGGCAACGGAGAGGCAGCACTCAGGCTGATGAGGAGACCTTCTCTGCCCACAGACCTATTATTTTCAGGGAGGTGGGAGTGCCCTGTGAGACGGGGAGGGAGAGGGTTCGGCTGTGAGCTGTCCCAAGCCCAGCTCTGATTTGCTACTGAGGCACATATGTGCTCACCTGTCCCGGGAGCTAGTTTTGGGCACAAGTCTTGAGGTCCTGTTTATGCATTTCAAACAAGGAAACAAAGGTTTTGGCCATCATTCTGGTTTTTGAGTTGTTCACAGACTCACTTTCCTTACTGATCCTTGGGCCCCGTGGGTGTGAGTGCTTGGCCCCCATAGCCAGGTTGGAGCCACCAGGGAGATGTGTTGTCTATGCTGGGAGGAAGGCTACAATTTTATCAGTCCAGTCACCGATGCCTACGAGTCCAGGGATCCTGGCAGGACACTGAGTTTCTCTCTTGTTTCCTCGTGCTGTCATTTTTGCTCTCAAAGATAAGTGCATGATCTCCACTATGCTTCCTAACCCTTGGTGGCTGTAGGCCACACCAGGCTCTGCACACTCCACATTCCTGTCTGTGCTTAGGGTTTGCCATTCAGCTGCAATAGAGCTGTCTCCCACATTCCATTCTCATACCATTTCCACTGTGGTTTCAAAGAGCTTTAATCTCCACACTTCTTAGAATCAAGTTAAACATGTATTCGATTCCCTATCAATGATTTGCCTTTGAGAAAAATTTTTCCCAAGTACTTGAGAATAAATGAATTGTTGGTATTTTCCCTACAGGTAGGAACGCTACTGAATTGTCCTTTATGTAAACATAGTTATTGGGGCAAATTTATAACTGGTTGAAAATGATACAGTGCTAAACATCAATTGACATCAATTTGAAAGAAAATACTAAGACTGTAACATGAACATACTTTGCATCATTTCAAATAACACAAAAGAGTAGAAACCAGAAGAATTTGACCTAAATTTGATTCAACATAGAACATAGCTCTTTCTGAAACTGCTGTTTTCTCTCTCAGACACTTTTGTTCTTTCTGTGGTGGCACATGTGACTGTGACCCATGCCTGTGTGGGGTGTGCGTGTTGTATGTACATGTTTGTGGCTGTACAGTGTGTTTTCATGCTTGTTTTGTTTGTTCAGTCTTAAACAGCACTTTGAAAATTTTGAATTCATTGTGAGCATTTTAAAATCTGTGTTCTGATAAAAAAACTTTCTTTGGAGTATCAGGAGAGAGTTCCGCTCCCACCAGCTTCCTTTTGGAAGCCCTTGCTGCCCATGGGGTGGATCTGGCTACTTCCTCTGACCTGAAGCTCAGGCTCTCACCATCAGGGAGCTGGGGGCTTGATTTGTGTCTTTAAGAAGAGCCCACAGGAAGGTGGCGATGGTCCCTGGCAAGCCTTGAGTGTGGAGCCCAGGAGTGGGGGCACTTGCTGGAGAAGAGTAGTTCCTCACTTAGAGACCACACGTGGCAGGAGAGCCATGTGCTCCCCTCCCCCCATGGTCCCCCCTTGGTCATACCTGCAGCACCTGGACATAGCACTTGCTTTAGGTTTCTACCTCAAAAGCACATTAGATACTAACTCATTTTCTCTTATTTTCAAGGAAATGTCTAGTTCTTCACCGTTGGAAGCAAAAAGTTGTAGTTTTATTAAAGTTTGGTCATCTCAGTAGCAATCACAACTGTGGTGATACGGGTGTTTTCTCGTACCTTCTGTATCCTCTAGAGCGGTGGCCCATGAGCATGCAGTTGAGAATACACACAGTCCTCTGTAGCCCATCCCAACCCCTGCTGGATCCAGGACTGTCCACTGCACAGCATGCTCGACCCTCTGTGCACTGTCTCTGTGCCTCAGTTTCCTATAAGGAAATGTGGGCACATTTCTGTTGTCTCTATGAGGTGTCCAGAGGGGCATCTGGTGCTCAGGGGAGCACGCACTGCCATAACCATGAGAGAGACAGATCTTGGAGCCACTGACAGTTTGAGGTACTTTTTCTCTGTCCCTGCCCTTTGCAGCCTTCTCCCATAGAGATACTCCACTACATGTGGGAACCTCCAGATTTACACACCTTCTACCGTGGTGACCCACTGGCCAGGCACAGCTTAGACCTTGGCTGCTTTCGTCCCCACTGTTCGATGTTGGCCTCTCTCCAGCCTCTCCTGCTGGCCAGGGGTCCTGAGCAGTATCAGAGCACCATGCTAATCAAACTAGAAGGTGGCTTGCCTGTGTTGTTCAGTGCCCAGCAAGGGTTTCTGCCACTCACCACCCCATGACCGCCTGGCAGGTGGCTCTCAGCTGTGGCTCTCCCCTGAAGCTTCACTCCCCTCCTGTGTCTTAAAATGTTTTCCACATTCTTGGGAGAACACATCTGAACTGTCACGAATCTGTTGTTCTTTATCTTGTTATCATGACTCACCAACTTGTGATTTTGAGGTTATATGTTAGCTCTGCGGGGTTGGATTACTAACAAATCCATCTTATTTTGGTTGCAGTCACTTCCTGCATTAATCCTTTGTATTTTTCTTTTTAAAAGCATGCATTAGTCCTTTAAAAAGGTCAAAAAGAACAAAAATGAATTTTTTAGAATGGAAGGTGCCCTACTTTGGGAAGTCCTGTGGTGGTGTTCTCTTTCATACTATCCTGCCTCTGTCTCCTGGGTGCTGGAATTGCAGGCATGAGGCACCATGCCCAGCCCAGATTTTGTTTAAATCTTGTGCTTGACCTGGCTTATCTGTACTGTTCTGCTGGGGCAGGGTGCTTCTTGTGTGACACATAGGGCAGAAGTCCCTCTGCCCCCCGTCCTCTTCCCATATCTGAGGACAGGAGAAGGACAGGAGGTTCAGCCCATGGTACCATGGTGGTGAGATCCTGAGTCCCTGCTCAGCCATCTTTAGCACCTCTTTGCATTGCAGAAGGGAGGAGGCCTAGATTGCTTCCCGGCCTTGCTGGTCGGGGGAGCCCCTGCCCTTTCTGCAGCGCCTGCCATTGTTGGACCTTGCATGCCTTCCGGGCCCTCTGGTTGAGAGGTGCCTGGGTCTGGGCTTTGTGTCTGCCAAGTCTGGTGTTTCTGCATGGCTGGCTTCACTGGCTCCAAGGCCAGCCATGAGGTCAAGGGAAGCCCAGATTATTCCCTAGGCTCTGTCTCCCACCTTCTCTCCTCTGTTGGGTTAAAGGGCCTCTAATTGCCTGGAGTAGAGGAACAGGGAAAAGCATGACTTTCCATCTTTCCAGAGCAAGTCCGCTCCTTAGGGCCTTATCTCCTCTGAGACACACCTCGCAAGTCATTCACAGGAATTCGGATCCCCAGATCTTTGTTCTCCACTGTTCCTTGGACAGTTCAGCAATTGGGGCCTTGGGGTTGGTCAGCAGTCCTTTGCAGTCCACTTACCTGGGCAGCCCCTCCTTGCCAGTCAACTGTGGTCCGGGAGGACAGAGCCCTTATCTCAGACCCCAGGATTGACATAGCTCAGGCTTTTGTGCTCTTCAGGTAGAAAATGTTATTGAATTTCAGTTATCTAAATTTTACAAATGAAAATGTTTGCATGGAAAGTTCCCTCTGTGCCCTTGATTTTCTGTTTCCTGATAAATATTAATGTAAGGCTATCATTGGGGAATGGCGTGCTTAAAGTAGGCTTATTTTCTCAATCCGAAATGCTAGCCACTGTGTTAACACTGCAAAAGTGCTTTCCATTGAGAATGCTTGTGAGACAGGCTGGGAACAGCCAGAGAGCATGCGTTCGAGAGAGTGTGTTTTTTACAAGTGGGGCGAGGTAGACTTGCTCATCTGGAAGTGCCTAAGTCGGGGTAGCAGTGACTGGGACACTGTCCCCTCTTAGTGAGTGACTCTTCACATGCCACATTTCAAAGGGGCCATTCAGGATGAGCAGAGGTCAGGCTGGGCTGAGGCCGTCTTCCTTTGCAATTACACATCTGGGCCTGAGGGACTCGAGTGTGTGGTTGCTATATGAATCCTTTCATCTATGAGCTTAGAAACATTTAGATTTGCATTTGAAAAAATTTAGGTGAGCTCATGAAGGCCACTTCTATCTACAGAGCACCTCCTTTAATTCCATCTAGAATATTCTGGATCTCCTTTACACACCACACACACACACACACATGCATGGGGCTATTCTGATTTGAAGATTTTGGTAATGTGTTTTTGTACAGGGCATAAAAATATACCTCTGTAATTACATGATATTTAGTGATTAGATAATTGTGGATAATTGCATGGGGTAGTTCTAAGTGCGAAAGTGTTACCATAAGATCTAAAATGTACAAATTGCATAATAATTATTCTTGGGAGTTATTTGGTAATTCTGAGCATAATTATCATGTGATCCACAGTGCATGTAATTAATGCATAATCACATGGATTTTGCCTTCATAACTGCTTCACCCTTGTTCTCGAGCTCTTTGTCATAACATTTGAGTGTAAATATAATGTAATTGGCTCCCAGATTCAGTACATTAAGCCCCACAATAATTGTTCCCCAGGAACAACACCTCTTATTCCATCTGAGTTCTGGGCTCTCTGGCAGCACAGGGTTGGGAGAGTCAGTTACCGGGCTGCAGCACCAAGAAGTGGTTTAGGGTGAGCCAGGCAAAGGCGTGCGTGTGTGACTGAGGAGTCTCTGCTGTGGCACACCCTGCTGGCCTCTGCGCTGGGCGGAATCTCATCTCTGACTTGAATCCCATTTGGTTTAAGGCTCCTTGCTGCCAGTGACAACAGCAGGCAGAATTTGTTTCTAAAAGCAGTATAGCAAAGCACTGAGTGTCTTTTTTGGTCTTGAAGTAAAGGAAGCTAGATTTTCTGAGAAATCTCTGCAGTGATTGGCAATGTGGTTGCTTTGGCTCGTGGGTGGCAGCACCAGTGTGCAGGAAAACACCCTAAATGTGAGACTGAAGCAAGATTTTGGTCGAACTCTCAAACATAACATGACTGTGCCCTCTCCCTGCAGGTTTCACGTGGCAGGATGACTACATCCAGCGAACCATGGCCCAGGAGCTTGCAGGCCTCCCCAGAGCCCCTCCCCAGCACATGGGAACTTTCGGCCCAGCCAGGTACGTGTGGATGTGAGTGACCTCTCCCTACTCCCACCCAACTGTACATCGGGGTTGGTGGCTCTCTGGGATGTGGGGACTCACTGTCCTCTGGGTCTTCATGAAAGATCCACACTGGCTAAGCGGCAACCTTACCACCAGCCCAAGGCGTTGCACAGTGGCCCTGCAGCACTGTGCTGCTGCTGCCTTTGACAGACAGGCCCAGGGGTCTCACCACCCCTATTTTCTGAGTCCTTTGAAAGAATCTTGCATCACTCAAATGCAGAAGTCAGGAACTCTTGGTGCTCACTAAGAAAAGGAGTCCGAGTACATGAAGTATAGGACTGAGCTGTGAAATCCTGCACCCTCTCCTATAGCTGCACAGCCTGGGCTGAGCACAGGCACTGTTCCATCCTATCCTGTCCCCACCTTGCCACTGTGAGGTGATGACAGGATCTCCTCGGCCTGCAGGGGGGGAGCTGAGTGGAGAGTGAATCATGGAAATGGATAATAACCTGCAGCCCCAGCAGGGCCAGGGTGAGCTGGGCCACCTGGGAAAGGTAGGGACCAAGAGATTGGAAGATTGGGGAGTAGCCACGAAGGGCTCCTGGTGTTTTCAGAAGCAAGAGGGGACCCAGACACCAGAGGGGCTCCGGAGGGCTGTCTCCAGTCCCACCAGGGGACACAGGTGAGGCTCTGGGCCAGGCACTGTCACAGATTAGAGCGCGGGCACTTTTTAAGGTTTTGCTATGAATGTTGTAGTTTAGCTTTGCTTCTATTTTCATTACAAGTGAGGTGAAGCGTATGACTTCCTGAACCCAGATTGGTCTGTCCTTGGTGAGTGTCTTGTGCATGATTTCCGTACGCACTGGGCATGTCCCTGTCCCTGTGAAAACCATATCACATATTTTTCTGTTTGTTTCCCTCAGGATTTAAGACTAGTGATTCATTTGTGGCATCATGTGAAGTGCTTTTGGCTGTCTGTGTGTGGGATGCTGTCGCTACAAGTGGAAGCTCGGAGCTCTCTGCTCTGCCAGGGTCAAGTGTGAGGATGGACCCTGGAAGAGCTCCAGGGACAGGGCCTCTTTTTGAGGAGCTGGCAGATGGGCTGCGTGTACCCTATCCCCTTCCCGACCTGAGCTTGGGCTCCACGGCCCGAATGACCACAAAGTCTCTCTGACTGGCTCCCCTAGGGCTGGCTAATGGGCTTCTTCCACTGGCTCCTCAAACCAGCTATAGGGCCGCGTTCTCCCAAGGTCAGAAAAGTCACTTTCTTCTCTTGGCTCCCTCTGGGCCACTGTGGCCTGATGTCCTGCTTTGGGGTGGTCATCTGGGTCAGAGTCGCCCAGGTGTCCAGTCGCCTTGCCCCAGAAGGACCCCGCAGCTGCTCTCTTCCTGCAGGCTGCTGCTCCTGCATCACTGCCACGGTGTCAGGTGATAAGACCTCATTCTTTTCCTGAAGCCTCTGGAAACATTTTTAATCACTGAAATTATCTGCTTCCTGGTACATGTTTAAAAATAACCTTTCATTATAGGTAAGTCTTTCATCAGAGATTATCTGTAAAATACACTCCCAATTTTTATCCTATGAATTTGAGGTGCAAATCTGTGCAGGAAGCTGCCCTTCTGTAGAGATTTCTAAGGTTGTTAAATTAGTATGATACTTGCTGTTACAATTTAATTAAAAATTTAAAAAAGTTTTCGGCATTATTTTTATTAATACATATTTGTCACAGTATTAATACTATTATAATTTAAAATTGTTCCGTGTATGTATAGTTAAAAATCTCTTTGCCATTTTAATTTTCCTTTCAACAACTTAACACAATTTAAAAAATAGTATGTTGGACTTTTTTCTTTTTGCTATTCTCAGCTTTATTGTCTCTTTATAAAACTTCTTGGATTGAACATTATATGCACATTTTTATTTGTTCATTTTTTAAAATTATGAAATCTCTTAAGTCTGTCTTCCTTTTTGAACAGTTTTGATATCCTTCGATAGCTCCGATGTATTCTCACTTATTTCCAAATTTTCTGAAATTGTCATTTTACAGACCTTTGAAGTAATAAGTATGTATAAGATTTTCCATATCTTGATATCATTGTTATTATTTTTATTTTTATTTATAAAGATTTTAAATTTTTATTACTTTGTGTTTACGGTACAAAATTACTGCATTCATCGTAAGAGATTGGCACAAGCATGGAACGCATCTCAATTATTCCCCATTCCTCCCCTCTCCCTTTTATTTTGCCAACATCAGATTCATTTATAAGTCCTTATAAACTTAGTTATTGTATGTACAGATTAACCACTAGACTAATAGGCAAAACATATAAAACAAATTCTACCAAACCAAGGTACATGTCCATTCGGGACTCCAATAACTTTTCTCTCTCTCTCTCTCTTCCTATTGTCTGTCTTTTCACACTTCAGTTTTATACCGAGCTTTTCACATAAAAGGAACCCTGTGATATTTAAGCTTGGATGTCTGATTTACTTCGTTAACGCTGTGGTCTCCCTGTGCACTCATTTTCCTATGAATGACTCAGTTTCTCCTTCTTTATGGAAGGGTAGTGCTCTATTCTATGTATGTGAGTAATTTTTATTGCATGTTAGTCAAAAGTTCAGCTTTCACTTTGTGTCCTAGCTTATGCCACACTTAGTATTTTCAATGGGTGATTCAAAAATATATTTATATCATTCACTGTTGACAGTACACAGAATTTTATGTGTAGTTTATAACTTTGATACATGTATGATATGTGGTAATTATAAATATCAATTAAGTCCATATGCCCTGATTTCTACTTTACTTACTGAGGTTTCTCAGGCGAAATCTGTGTTCCTGTGAGTTTCCCCTTGCTGTCGGCCCTCTTGGGTTCGTGATCCTCCTGCTGTGGGCTGCTCTCTGTGGGCACCACCCAGTCCCTCTAGGTGCCTGCTGCAAGATACTGCCTCTCCCCTGGCTGCTCAATCTCGGATTCCGCTGTTCTAATGCATGATTGGCTTTTCCTCTTTCTCTCTGCCTTTCTGTGGCTGGGTAACCTGATCCGCTAACTCTGTGTTTGAAGGGCAGCATTGTGAAGAACAACCAGCGGCTTCCTAAATGCTCTTTGGGGTTCCATGGGGGCCTCCACCTGCGGGTGACCATCCTCTCCTTGCCTCTTTCCCTGGTGACTGGGGCCCTGTGGGCAGGGACCCTCACAGGTTCCCATCCTCTCCTTTCCTTGTTTAATCTGTGGACTGCGGTGCGCTTGACTTTATCTGCTCTGGTATTTGAAGTTTGTCTGTGGTTGTCACTCTTGAGTTTTCACATTATTACAAAATTTGTTTTGCTGCTAATCAAAGTAATCCACATGCTTTGGGACTACCTGGAGAGCAAGGGGATGGTTACACTCTACCCTCCTCCCAGCTCCTTCACATGCTGCTCCTGGCCACGTCACCCTAGCTCCTCACACACACCCTTGATGAGGTTGACATTGGGTCAACGCTTGCTGAGTAAATGAGGGAAGGATAGAAGGAACAGTCTGCTGATCACTGAGCTATTGCATAGGTAACTGGCCTAGGACCTCTGGCTTTCTTCATTTCTTGAGTGTTTCCAGAACATTCTGCATTGGCAGCCTTAACGTGTGTCCAAATCAGGCGTGGACGATTGGCCTTCTTCATACCCGGCCACTAGTCCTTAGCAACCCCCCATAATTCCCTGGGGCCTGAGGATTCCTTCTGCAGCAAAGGTGAGATGAGGTTTCAGAGTCCTTTCCCGTCCCAGGCTGACTCACAGAGGCAGCAGCTGGCCCCAGCTGGCCTCCCCCTCGTTCCTTGTTTGGGAGAGCCCTGCAGATAAAGGCAGGAAGAATGCGGGGAGTGCTGGTGTGAAACCCTCCTGGCTCTCTGCAGGGGAAATTTCTTACCGAGTACCACTTCACGCAGGGTGAAAAGTCAGAAGCCAGTCTGCAAATCGACTACTGCAACACTGCGCAGAGCAGCAAGGAGCCACCCCTCACTGGGACACACTGCAGTGTCACCCAGGAGTCCTCGTGTGGGGATGAGCACAGGAAATGCAGATAAAGCAATATGGAGGCCCGTTTATAAGCTGGCTCTGTCTGCACCAGTTAGTAAGGGAGAGAAACGTAGACAAAATGCCAGACAAGTAAACTGAGTTCAGTTGATTTATACTCTGACAGCACAGAACACAAGATCTCCTCCATTAAAAACGGTCAAGGAAACTGGCGTCACTATTTGAAATGTAAAAACCTGAATCACCTGATAAATTACATGACCATCTAAGCCTGAAACAATGACTTCGAAGAGCACTAGAATAAAAAGAATGGATTAATCTGCCAAGATAATTAAACACCAATAGGAAGGTTCTGGGAAAATCTCACCCTAGAACTCTTCATTACCAGGTATTAACTGCACACATGGTGGGTTCATATGTGATATTTCAGCGTGTATATACAGCATGCGTTGATCCAGTCAGGTAGTCAGCGTTTCCATGTCCTTACCGTTTCTTTGCTTGGAGTCTCCAAGCTCCTGTCTTCTGCTTTTCCTGAAGTCTGCAGGGGCCGCTGTGGGCTATTACCACTCCTCCGCTTTGGAGCACTGGAACTTATTCCTCTGTCTGCACTTTGCTGCCCATTTTCTGACCCACTCTATCTTCTTCTTTGCTTTCTAACCTCCAGTTTTCACTATTCGCCATCCTAGGTGGCTTTCTTTAGCTTCTACATGTAAGAGAATGTGCAGTACTTGTCTTTCTGTGTCTGGATTATTTCACCTGACACAGTATTCTCTAGCTCTATCCGTCTTTATGCAGATGACGGATTTCATTCTTCTTTGTGGCTGAATAATATTCCACTGCGTGTAAATACCACATTCCCTTTCTCCACTCACCTGTTGATGGGAACTTAGGTTGACTCCACATCTCATCTCTCACGAGCAGTGCTGTAATAAATGTGGGCGTGCAGGTGTCCCTCTACTATGCTGATTGGATCTCCTGAGGATATACACCCAGAAGTGGGGCAACTGAGCATATAATAGAAGTATACTCAAGTTTTGGAGGAGTCTCCACGCTTCTCCACAGTGACTGTATTCACTAACATTCCCTCCAGTGTTAACACAGAGTTCAGGGTCTCCAACATCCTACCAGTACTGGACATTGCTTGTCTTTTTTTTTGTAACAGCCATTCCACTGTTTGAGATCTGATTGTGATTTTGCTTGTATTTTTTTGCTGGCTAGTGGTGGTGACCATTTTAACACATCAAGATACCACACTCCTTTGCTGGCTCATTCCTGAGGACCAGACGTTCCACCTGAATTCCCGTTACTTTACCTGGGGAGTTATGATGAAGCACATTCACCTGAAACCCTGAAGCATTTGTTAAGCACAAGTAATCCATAGGACAGCGTGGGCACAGTACCAACACTCATGTTTGGGCACAAGGCACTGCTCCCTGGCCCCAGGGGCCTGGTGGTGTGGGCCTTGATGGCTTGTTGTGGAGGTGGCCTCAGTTTTACCTCCATGCCTCTAACTCTGACCCAGAGTTAGCCCTGCCCATCACATCCACAGGTGCACCCAACCGGGCATCCTGGGCTCAGACTTCTCTGCCTAGTGTGTGTGCAGGTAGGAGGCATTGGCATGCTTCAACAAAGCAGTGGTCAGGACCTAGGGGCACAGGCTACCATGTTGGTTTCCTGTCCTGCACAACTAACACGACACACAGATGCAGAACAATGAAAACTGGCTGCCAAGCATCAGCCTTCTCTAGGCTCAGACACGAGTCTTCTGCAAGCCCATGAGGATGAGTGACTGGCCGTTTCTAGCTTCTGCAGGTGCCTGTTCCCTCCTGACTTCAGAGCCCATGGCGGTGGTGCCCACACTCAGCCCTGCCTCCCTCCTTCACTGTGGAGCCTCACCCTCTGCCTCTCCCACTGGGGGAATGCTCTTTTGGGTCATTTGTCAGTTCCCCAGGAGGCCTAAGTTTCCTGAGAAATCAACCTGCTGTCAGGGAGAGATGGAGTGTGGACCGGGTGTAGGTGGACCTCACGGCTACATTCCTGGGTGAGCTGCAGAGCTGTGCAGTGCTCATCCCACACTTCTGTCCACGTACCACAGCTCATCCACAGACTACATGCACAGCTGATTCGTGGTTTGCTTTGCTTCTCAGGACCTCGCAGCAGAATGTGGGCGCTGAAAGGCAGTACAGCTTGGAGGACGATGTGGCCCTGGCCAAGGCCCTACAGCACTACTTGCTCTACTTGGAGGCTCTGTCCCATGCCACAGGCACGAGTGCGCACCACAGGAGGGAGCATGAAAAGCCACCAGCCAAGGTAAGCCTACACCTGCTGTGGCCTTCGCTCCTCTCAGACTGGGGTGTCCAGGTGGTTCATGACTGTGCTGCTTTTACCTGCTCTCCTGGGTCCCAGATGGGGGGCAATGCAGGGAGGGGCTGTGCCCGGGTGAGGGCTGTACATGCTCCTTGGTGCTGAGGCTTCTGTGCCACAGTAGTGTCCCAGCAGCCTTGGGCAGGGGCCTCAGGAACAATCCTTTTGTACAAGCGCCACTCAGGCAGCCTGCTGTGAGCACAGGCAGGACACCAGAGTCCTGTAGAAAAGGGTCCAAGGTGGCAGTGGGCATCAACATGGATGGGTACTGTGGGTCCCTGGCATCACTGCAGTTAGAGGTTGGTGCCTGGGGTCTTAGTCTTGATGCTGTATCAACTCATCAGTTGAGTCCCTCATTCCAAGAAAGAGAAGCCTGGATAGGTGGCCAGGACTGCAGGGGACTCTGCCTGCTGAGACTACTGGGGCCTGGGCACCAGAGGCAACACAGGTGTCTGAGATAAGCAGAGGACAAACTCTGCACTGAAAGTCAAGCACCTTGAAAGACCTCTCTTGAATGAGGCCTGCAGAGCCCATGTAGGATCCCGGAACAGGGCAGAGCAGAAGGAGCTCCTGCCCCACCCCTCCTTGTCCCTCCACCACCCACTATTGAGTGTTGTCACAGTGTGCTTTTGTAGCAGCCTGGGCATGGCCACCAGGGAGAGTCCCAGCACTGCCCCAGGAGCATGCAGAGGCCCAAGCCTGGGGGCCACTCCAGGGCCTCTGTCATGTCTGTGTCGGCCTAAGTCTCTAATAGAGTCACTCCCGGTGGCCCAGAGTGGCGTCTTCAGCACTCAGACAGCAGGTGACAGAGCTGTGGAGCTCTGAGGTGCGAAGCAGATGATGCAGGGACATCTAGCATGCCAGTAAGCTGCCCTCCTCGCAGACAGTGCTGAGCGGAAATTCCATACTAAGCCTTTGGCGACCTGGAGAAGCTGTCTGTGTGCGTGTATTGGCCTAGTCTGGTTACTGTTGATTTAAGCATGTGGAACTTTGAGCTTTTATTCTTTTACTGATTGTGTGTGCTCTTGAAATGCTAGACACCTGGCAACATGTTCTGGGATAAAATTGATTTCAAAAGGTCCCTTTTCCTCGGGAATCGGTGAAGGGAGAGATACCTGTGATGCTGGAGCAGCTCGGGCCCTCCTCCCCACTTCCTTCCATGAATCTTGGCCTTGGAGAAGTTTCCCAGCTGCTCTTCCATCTCTGGTCACAAACTGGCTATGGGGACCACGCAAGAAAACCCACATAGAGCTGTTTGTGCAGTGTACTGTCAATGGTAGCATTGATATCATTACTGCTAACACAACTATCTTTCAAAAATAAGGTGAAAGTCAGCTCAAGAGTCTGGATGCCTGTGGAGCTCTGCAGTTCTCTGAGGAGTGTGAGGGCTCCAGGCTCCCAGAGCAAATGTGGTTGCTCTGCCACATGGGGCCAGCCTCCGCTGTTCACAGCAAGGTGGAGACCATCTTTTCCCTGTGCTTTCCTGACTTCCTCCCTCATCTGTGTCCCGTGATCACCGCGCCCTGGCACAGCCACCCAGGCTGCCTGAGACCTCACATCCTGCCCCAGAGAGTGAAGTGAATCATCAGAACATGACCCAGGGGTAGAAAAAGCAAGGGAAAGGAGGAGAGGATGGGAAGCGCCAGAGACTCAGCACAAGGTCCAACAAGAAGAAGCACCTAGAGTTTTCTGTGAAGGCTTCATGTCTTTCCTGCAGCATAATGATGATGTCTACACCTGCATCGACTACAGCACTGAAGCAAGGGGATGAGACTGGGAACTGACTCCTCTCTTGTGGCCACTGCTGACCTGAGGTCTCACTGTAGTGACTTCCTATGGCTCAGTTTTGGACCTTGTTCATGCTTCTCCTTCAGCTTAGTTGTTATTAAGTTAGCCCTCCAGCCACAGTGAAAACATTAGATCTCCACTAGAATTCGCCCCCAAGACATGCTGTGGCCTGAGTTGCTGGAGTGATATTTGATGAGTCTTCACATTTGCCTGTTTGTTGCTCTTAGCAACCAGACAGGCAGGAACCCACAGGCATTAAGACCCAGGCCTTAGAAGTAAAACACTTCCGATGCAGGATGATTGTACTGGCTCTGCTCTGGACACCTGTGCCTTAAGGGGCCTGAGAGCGTCCACAGTGGGCGTCTATGGAACCTCTGCTGGCTCAGGTCCTTCCCTTTGGCCTGGGTTCCCACCTGCTTTTCTGCCAAGAACCAGTGCTGGGAGGGCACTGGTTCAGGGCACAGCCAGTACCCATCAGCAGTGGCTTGTACCTTGCCCTAAATTTGATCACGTGGTCTGTAGGACTCCTCCTAGGCAGAGTGACCCATGCCATGACTGACTGTGCTGTGACAGGGCCACCTCATGCCACTGCCCGGAGAGTAATTCTCAGTAACCTCCACTGCCCCTCTTGATGTGGCTGGGGGTGAGCTAACAAAGCCGGAGGCTGTCCAGTCAGTTGTCTGCTAAAAACATTGGTCACAGGTCATCTGGAAGCTGAGCCATGGGTGGCATTTCTGTCATAGGCAGTTTTTCTTCTGTGTTAAGATAGATGCTTCTTCACTGTTTAAAAAAAATACGTATGAAAACCCAGAAGTCATTATTTTCTCTGTCCAGTGTTGGAACAAGGAGAAAACTGAGTCATCTCCTAATGAGCAGGGCCAAGATAAAGTGCAAGAAGCCTGTGTGGGAGCCATCACGCTGCTGTGAGGTCTGGGACCAGCTGGGGATTTGGGCAGCATTCCCAAGCCCCCCTCTGCTCAGGTGATGAAATATTTCAGTAGGGAATTTAAGTTTGATCTGCTGATCGTCTTTCAAGGTACATCCAATTTCCAATGAATTATTTACAAATCATGTTTTTCTATGTATGTGTCATCAGAAATCTGACTCTAGCATAGATAGTCAGAGACACCTTCTGAATTTATTATCTTCGATGCTCTCGCACTGATTACTTCATAACAGAAGCCATAGGGAATAAAATTGCACAACTCCTCTTAAATCAAACCGCCCAGCTCACAGCTCTGAAATGCTAATTGAGCTCTTATTGATTGCTAAAAATGAGTGTTATCATTATTTCTGTATGGTGAGTGGGGGACCCGACTTCTTGTTTGTTGGTTACCTCAGCACTGGTTCAAGGCCTTCCAGTCACAGAGAGCACAGGCAAGCTGCAAGCTGACCACATCACCAAGGGGGTAGAAGCCAAAATTCTTGGCAAAACCATCAACTGATTTGTTTTGGAAACATTGTAAAAATGCATTTAATTTACAAAAAACTGTGATGGGACCAGAAAGATAAAAGAACTTGTCTTGTGGAATTTTATAGTTTTGGTGCGAATAGAGACAACAGACGAGCCAGGCGTTCAGAGATCTTGTGGAGGATGACACTGAAAGGACAACCTGAAGTCCTCAAGGAAGATGCTGGTGGACTCAGAGTGCAATACATTTAGAGACCTCCCCAGGCCACTCTGACTCCATAAGCAAGCCGGAGGAGCTGCTGAGTTGTGTGGCTGAGAACCCAACCAGGCCAAGGATGGGGGACAAGGGTCAGGGTGCTGGTGTGGAGGCCAGCTTGAGGGCAGGCTGGCTACACAGAGTGAGAGGGGACTCTGCTAGGGGTCAGAACCCCAAGGGTAGGAGGGGGAAGGGGAGCTTCCCAGGAGCTGCAGCCTTCCTGAGGGCAGCACAAGGGCCTGCAGGGCTTGGGACGAGGAAGCGGATGGGGAGAGGGCTTCCAGGGAGCGTCAGGGAGCAGGAGGGACGGAGACACGTGCTCAGCAAGCCCATGCCCTCACGTATCCTGGCACCTGACTGTAAAATACCAAGAGGTCACCAGAACCTCATAGCACCTGTGTCCATCTCTGCTGAGGGAGGTGGACCGGCACCACCTGCACCTGCCACTCCTTCCAAAAGATGGAGTGCAGGGAAAGGTCATGGCAGAGTGGGAGCCTGCCAGACAGGAGTGCTGGGCCAGGTAGACGAAGCCACCTCAAGTAGGAGGACATTGCCAGAGACACACTCCACAGTGACTCTGAGTTCATTATGGTGAATTCATTACAATGACACAGAGATCTTTTTATGGACCTATTGTTTGCACTTCAGACAAAAGCAAAACATGAAAACACTAAGGAGAGAAGTGTCCAAGTCTACAATCAATATTAAAGATTTTAACCTTCCTCTAAGTAACTGTTCAAACAAGTAGATAAAATGTCAGTGAAGATATAAAAGATTTGATCAGCACTATCCATCAGCCTGATCTCATTGGTATTCGCCGAATGATACACCCCAAAACTACCAAGTATGTGTTCTTTAAGTACTCAGATTACTTCCCAAGGTAGATCATTTGCTGGACCATAAACTAAGTCTTGATAAAGTTCAGTGGCTCAAAACTATACAAAAACACTGAAAGAAAACTACACCTCCTTATCCTTCAGATATAGAGGAGCAAACATCTAAATAATTTTTAACAAATCTAATCCGACAATATATAAAAAGGACAACACATCAAGATGAAAGGGAAATTTATTCCAGACATGCAGGGTTAATTTTACATTTGAAAGTCAACCAGCATAACTCACTATCTTAACAGGAAAAGGAAAACCATATGATAATCTCCATTTATGCAGAAAAAGCACTTGACAGAAGCTGACACTTCCTGATGATGCCCTGCTTCTAACAGCACCGGACAGTGGAGGACTGAATGCTGTGCCAGGGAGTGTGCAGGGAGCAGGAGGGACGGAGACACGTGCTCAGCAAGCCCACGCCCTCACATATCCTGGCACCTGACTGTAAAATACCAAGAGGTCACCAGAACCTCATAGCACCTGTGTCCATCTCTGCTGAGGGAGATGGACCGGCACTACCTGGAACCTGCCCTCAGGCTGTGGATGTCCTAGACCGTGCACTTCTATAAGAGAGAGAAGTACAGACTGTCCAGACTGCATA